CCTGGTGATCTCGCCTGCCCTCGCCCTCCTCGAACTGTTTACAGAATCAGACCACCTCATCCCGCCCTCCCATTTGCATAGCTGCCCAGCCTTTCAGCATATTTTTATTATATTAATATTAATATTATTTCTGCACAAACGCTGCCAGCATCGGCATTGCCACTGTTATTATTATTCGCCCTCGCTTCGCCCTCAGTGACCCTCGTCTACAGTAATCCAATTGCTGCTGATGCTGCTCATAGCTACGATACACATCAGTTCCAGAGAGCACAAATCCGCCGCACCACATTGGCTGATTATTCCTCGCCCGATCGCTGTTGAATAAAGAAGCCACCGTTGTTCCATTTTGGCGTCGTCAGTTCACAGCTCTCTGCTACAACGCCGGCCACTCGGAACAGTTTTTGCCGCAGCAGTAGCAGCAGCTGCAAATACCCTACCATTTGTTGTAGCTATGTGTACCTGTGCGTAAAAATATAATGCTCTGTGTCAAGTTTGTTTGCTGTGCTAGTACAAAGCTTTTGATGTCACGAAAATGAAACCAAAAGCTCTTCTAATCGAAGACTGCTGGCCAGAAGGAGCTGCTGCTTACCAGCATCTGATCTTGAGCGGAAATGTAATATGTTGTACTATAATAATTACGAAGTCCGCCGTGATCCCTCGGCTGCTACTTATTGAAGAATCTTTAGACGGTGCTTAACAGCAGTCCTTCGTGAAGAGCATGTAATTGTGACTGGCAGATTGAGCGATAGCTACAGCATGTCGCTTGCCTAGAGAGATGTCAACTGAATCTGACAGCCGCGATTCACCAGCTCGTTCGCCCGGAGCTTGTAACTCTCGGCCCTACTTTAGTGCGATGTTAACCAGGGCGCTATTGTCTGGGAACTTTTTTTAGTAGATATTGATTTATGGCTTATATCTAAAATGTTTAAGAGATTAGTATGCGTTTTGATGTGCAACCGAGTGCCCTCCCTTACTGTTTGTGACCATCGTTTTTTTTTTGTGGTATTGCGCTGCAGCAGTATCCATCCCCATCTTTTAGGAGTTTCCCCGCCATGGGGAGCCTGCAGA